TTAGCTACATTTAATTACCGACAACGTAAAAAGTCACGTATTCTTCGACTTCCATCCACATGAAATTACGTAAAATAAAAAATGACACTACTCCAACACAGCTGCAAACGTTGCAAAAATTATTTTTCAATGCTGCGACAAACTCACCGGAGATACGGAAACTTGATTGCAGGGCGACGTGCGCCATTAAAACCAACTCGGCCCAATTCCTCCGAAGGGTTAAAAATAAAAAATAAAAAAGATAAATAAAAAAAGTTTTATCCCGCGGTCATTCCTTCGGCATCACACGATGTAATCCACAAATACCTCGATAAATAAACTGAATTTAAGTAAACTAAGCGAATTGCGTCATATTTAGCAGATAGCGGCAGCTGTTCCACAGAAATTTCGTGGTTAGCCCGCGCGTGCGCCGCGAGGATATGGCCGCGAGCCGTGTGCAGATGAACCGGAAGTACAGGTGAAAGGTGAGAGGTCACCTGTCTCGCGGGTGTCACGACCTGACGCAATCATTTTCCGTTCGTTTTTTTTAATAAAACTTTGTTGAAAAGTTCTTCAAAAAAAAAAAAAAAGCTACTAAAGAAACTAAAATAAAAACCAATAAAACTACAATTTATTTAGAAAAGATAAAAGCTGGGAATTTTTAAAAAAGCACACATATAAGAAAATACACACATTGGTGGCTCGGCTCAACAAGTCAACAAAATATAATTACACTATTTTCAAGTCATTTCATGGTAAAATGAATATAAAATATGAGACATGTGCTCTCTGCAAACGAAATTAATTCCACATAAATATCACAGTGAGTGCAGGCCAGCAAGACCACCAAACTGTGCGTCTTGGAATTAGTCTTATTTGTGATGATTTTAAGTTATAATTATATGCAAATGTGTGCCATAGAAATATTTATTTTCACAAATTATTTTGGATGAGCAACCATTTAAATAGTCCAGAAGAAGAGATGCAGGTGAGGAGAAAAAGTTCCCTAATAAAGTCCCACAACAGAGTACCCCGAATAGATAATAATCAGCGAAAATGTGTTGTCTAATGATCATGATGGTTGATCTAACTACAGCAGCTTACAATAAAATATGTTTTATTATTTGATTTCATATTTAGTTTTGGTGATTAGATTAGGTCATGTTCTATATGGTGTTCTATATGAACAACACACTTCATCACACTGTNCCCCGGGGCCTCCTCCCGGTGGGACGCGCCCAGAACACCTCCCCAGGGAGGCGTCCAGGAGGCATCCGAAGCAGATGCCCGAGCCACCTAGGGGTCCCTCCGGAAGAGCTGGAAGAGGTGTGTGCGGATCGGGAAGTCTGGGCAGCTCAGCTCAGGCTGCTGCCTCCGCGACCCGACGCCGGATTACCGGGAGAAGATGGATGGATGGACGAACTTGACCTATCTTGAACACAGAAAGCTGTGAGAGAACAGGAAATACACAGACTTCTCTCTAAATACATTTTCAGAAGTAAGAGCAGTCACGGCCACAAATGATCCCAACTCTGATGAGAATGATAAACTTCATTTTACCGTTCTGGAAAATGACAACAACGGTCCATTCTTTACAATGACAGCTCTCAAACCTTCATGATGAGGGTTTGCATTTGAAAACCAGACACAGGAAGGAGGTGATATTTTATGGTCCTATGAATTTGATTAAGGTGACCAAGGTATGCACTGCATTCCATAGCGTAGAAGTAACAGATTAGTGCTCTGTGGTGGACAAACTGCAACAAGTAATGATCTGATGACATTTTACACATTTCAGTCATTTCATGTCATATCATCCTAATTTCAGAATTGCTTATGCTCAGCTTTTTCTGATTTGTTTGAATGTTTTCTTTTGTGTAAATGTACATAGACACTTTGGCTATCAAGAAAGTTTGTGCTAATAGTGGGTCAATGGACAACTAAAAACCACACGCATCACATGGAAGTTGATGATCATTTTATCTTTCACAAGTCAATCAGGGGAGAGCGCGAACGCAGTCCCCCACTACCAGAAATTATGCAGTTGAGATTCCCACATTTGGGGAATTCACAAAGGTCAGCTAGCCAGAGTGCAATGGCTGAGCCTCACCCTGGGTGAACCACCTTCTTGATCATGGTATCTCCCCTGCCAGGTAAGTATGACTTGTATATGGCCAACAGGAGAGACTCATTCAGCCACATACAAGTCAGCCTGATGGTTAACATATATTACCAGCAGCTCAGTTTTAGCCACAATACAATGATCACATAATATTATACTTGTACACCACAGATCTATCGTTATGCTACTGATTAAAGTACGTTATTTTAATGGTTAGTGTTCGTGCAGTTACCCATCATGCTTTGCTGCATTGTATATCAATGTGACGTTGAATGCTACTTCCGGTTTTCAGTTTCAAAGGTTAATATAAACGTTTGTGCTCAATAAATACCACTCTATGTGGTTTACCCGTCACGTCTCGTATGTTATCGATGCTGTATAACGTCGGAGGGGGTTACTTGTAAAGTTTTAGCTTCATTAGTCGAATGCAGGAGCGCAAACAGTAGCAACTACCTCTACAGTGACTGTAAAACAGTATTTCTGTGGATTCACCGGGACGAGC